GAGTCAAAGTATGGCATTTATGATTTATGTATCCATTCTCTGTCACCTAAAGTTCGTTTCAAGGCGTCAATAGCGGTAATCTGACCGTGGTTGCTGTTAATAATGGTAAGTTGTGTGATCTTCCAATCGCTTCACAAATGATTTCGCCGAAATTAACTAAAATATTGAAAGGAATTTTGAATAAAATTAATGAAATAAGTTACAAACATAAGTCCAGATATACAAAGAACACTTTTTTATAGCCAGACAGTGTAATTACATGATTAATTTGCATACTTCAGTATGGATTTGTTGACATGGTATTTTCGATGTTACGTGCTCACGGTAATGTCTTTCCAATGGGGGAAGAAAACATCAAAACTCATTATTTTGTGTAAAATGCGCACCCCCTTCTACACAGCTGTGTTTTTTGGAAAAAAAGTGTGCACTATACTCAAGAAAATATGGTACATAAATTTTGATGAACATAATATGTTTTTTATATATTGGTAGTGCTAATAAATAACTTAGATTGTTAGTGGCTGTACCCTCGAGGAGGGTTGAAGTAGCGTATTCTCGCGGTATGGCAGATTCATCTGTCTCAGATAATCCTGTTTTCCTAAACACACACATAGATAATAGAAGCTTTAAGCAGGGTTGAGGGAGAAGTGTATCCTGAAATCCAAAGTGTCTCACCAACCTTCTCCAAGTGTCCTTCTCCACCTAACCTATAAAAGTGACGAGGTAGCGCACTGACATCCTATTCCAAATATCACAATCTGACAATGACTGCAGTACTTGTTGGCGACTCTTTGGTCAAATATCTTGGAGTGAGTGAGGGAGTGAGTAAGTATGGATGTATGCCGCTTTTAGCAATATTCCAGCAATATCACGGCGGGGGACACCAGAAATGGGCTTCACACATTGTACCCATGTCGGGAATCAAAACCAGGTCTTCGGCGTGACAAGGGAACGCTTTAACCACTAGGCTACCCGACCGCACCTAAATATCTTGGACGGTACACGGGGAAAGAAGGCATAGTGATGAGATCTCTGTCAGGAGCCAAGGTGGCTGACGTTCCTGATCTCCTCCGGGACATTGAGAGGTTTAAGGTAGGAGACATCTTCATATCATATCAGTTAAAGGAAGTAACATTTTGCAAATGAGGACTGTTCCAAGCACGTAGTAATGAATAATCAGTCATAATAAACTCACCACAATGATAATAGAAACTGGTTTTGATGGTAGATACTGACACTGTCTGATAAAACATATTTCCAAAAACATACCTTACGTTTGGGTTTCAGTAAAAGATACATCTCAAGTGACCGTTATTTTAACATTGTTTTCAGTTCGTCATTGTCTATGTTGAGATCAATGACCTGGCTTACATACCCAAGACGCCGAGACAAGTCTTGGACGACTTCACCAAACTGCTCGGCTTTTAAGGGAACGAAATCCCAGTATGTGATATCTCCTGTCATACACAATCCAATATTTGCATGTAAATTACTGGCTCTTAAGGTGACTTCGCAATGGATCGTCACGCATAGTCCATAACATTGTCAGATGACAATATATTATAATAGGTTCATACGATTTCTTTGACTTGACCGGAAGAGTACTGTTTTGGGTGTAAATAATGTCTAAGATATTTATGTTTGTACAGAGTCACCCTGAGAGATCGAAACCGGTGGCGCAATGGCCAGGGCATTTCAAAACATGATGCCCTGAACAAGAAGGCCTACGCCCTAAACGAAGGTCAAGAACACCTTTCTGAAGCGGATCGACAAACGTATGTAGGACACCCTGAATTCATGTCAACCGGCACAGTGAGAAAGGACTTTATCTCGCATGATGGGCTACATCCATGACCAGCAGGTCAAAAACAGCTGGCATCAGACCTGATCCGTGCTCTTACTGACAGCCCGGGCCAAGTCGGACCCAACACTTCTGACAGAGATTTTCTTAAGAAAATATAAAGAATGAAAGTGCTTGACTTTAACAGACCAGTTTTCTTTAAATGTGATGTACTGTGACAAGTGGTATATAGGTAGATTTAATACTAGTCTATAGATGTAAACACGTTTGAAGATACATCTGTGAGGTTTAAGTTGATTTTGACAGCCCGGGCCAAGTCGGACCAAACACTTCTGATTGAGACTATGTTAAGAATGTAGAGGGAAAAGGGCTTCCTTCACTATGAGCACCTTGTGTTCTTTAAATACTGCGATCTGAGACACTATGAAGTGGTATATAGGTAGATATAATACTAATCTATATGTAGCAGGGTACCTTATCATATTCTTCCTATAGTTATATTATTATTCATACATCATCATCATAATCATCTATATGTTCAATGTTTGTCTTGTCTACAGTTGAATATCAGTATATAACTCCTTAAACAACTCAACACCCTTATTTTCAGTCTCTGGGAATCTCTCACCAGATCTTCCCCTTCAACCTTCTGTCTATCTTTAGACATTTTTCACACCTGTAGGGTTTCCCTCAGTCTATTTATATCTTGCATTAAGCACTTCCTTTGATGCTTAATGCAATCTGTCTTCTAATTGGCCACCCTGGTCCTCTACAGGTAGCTTCCTTCCATACCTGACTTCCTCCTCACTTCATGTGCTGCTGTTGAGGAGGAAGGATATTTTCTTTTCTTCAGGTATGGAATGGCCACATTTCAATCTGTTTTCATCTGCTTCTGTCAGAAATTAATATCTATATTAGGGTGCTGAATTAAATTGAATAATATATATAATATCATATAAAGTAATATTAAATTAGTAAATGGAATATTGATATTATAAAACTTGCTTGTAAAATAATAAACCACATGGTCCATTTTGGCCCATGTCCTTTTCAAGTTTCCTATAGTGAACTTATAACAGTAATTTAACATTAAAGTTAGTTTTATTATAGTTTATCAATGGCTTTTGTACTTATATATTTAAGATAAATAATACCTGTGAACTTGCAAATATATGACTTCATGTGCTGCTGTTGAGGAGGAAGGACATTTTCTTTTCTTCAGATAGTTCAACAGCAGCCACCCCCTTGTAATAAACCCATTATCATCATCTGCCTGTGTCTGTGTTTCCCAACGGCCCGAGCCGGATCATTACCACTACCCCGGCTACATATAGATGTGAATACATTTGATGATACATCTGTTTGTTTAAAGTTGATTTTGACACCCCGGGCCAAGTCGGACCGAACACATGTGAGACTGTTGAGAGTATGTGGAGAGAGGTCTACTTTAACCAACGTGTCTGCTTTAAATACGATGAACAGTGACAATATAATGTGGTATTTACTTAGATATTGTACTATCCTATTTAAATGTAAATGCTATGCGGACAGATGGAAATTTGTATCACGATAGCTAGAAGTATTTGATACGTTTCAATTCCTACTACGATTCCTCTTTTACATGTTACCTAGATTAGCCACACACAGCTCCACTTTCTGGTTTTCATGCGATTTACTCCGAATACATCTGAGACACTATAAAGTGGTAGATAGGTATATATTATACTAGTTAAGATGTTACATCTGTGAGGTTTAAGTTGATTTTGACAGCCCAGGCCAAGTCGGACCAAACACTTCTGATAGAGATTGCTTTCGTAAGAAAATATACAAGTGTATGACTTTAATGGACCAGTTTTCTCTAAATTCGATATACTGTGACATTATAAAGTGATATACAGGTAGATATTATACTAGCCTATACATGTAAATCCATTTGATGATACATCTGTGTGTTTAAAGTTGACTTTGACAGCCCGGGCCAAGTCGGACCCAACACAAGCCAAACACTTTTGATAGAGATTATGTTGAGAATGGAGAGGTAACAGGGCTTCACTTTGAGCACCTTGTTTTCTTTACATACCGGAGCGTCCGCCCGGAGAGCGGAAGGTCCAGGGTTCGATCCCGGGCCGCGTCATACAAAAAGACGTTAAAAGATTGTACTTGTTGTTACCCTGTCTGGCGCTCGGCATTAAGGGGCTAAAACAAGGACTGGTCGGCTCGGAGTCAGTATACTGTGTCTGAGTGGGGTATTCATGTTAAACTGCGGCATGGTATCTCAGTGAGCTAGCACTATAAATCGGCATCAGTCCGGACTAGTACAAGAAGCCACACACACACATACACGTGCATGCACGTCGCTATATAAGTGCAATAATCTTGGACGCGACGTTAAACCCAATTTCACCACCTCTTTACATACCACGATCTGAGACACTTTGAAGTGGCATATAGGTAGAGATAACACTAATCTATAGATTTGAATCCATATCATGATCCATATATGAGGTTTAAGTTGATTTGTGATTGGGAGAGTTGCTGATATGTTGATTTACTGTCTGATTTGATGGTTGAAGTTTTGTGCTCTTTGATTCTCCAACCACCCCTTTAGAACAAAGACTGGCATCATCTCTACCCTCACCAAACGACCATATCAGCAACTGCGCCAATCAAAATCCTTAAGTCATCACATAAGTTGGGCTGTGATAAGTTCAAAAAGAGTTTTAAAAAGTGCACAATGCTTGAAGAATCATCAGATTATGCAAATTCTGGGACACTGAATGTGTTGGATGGGCCTAAAATTCCCTCTTTACTAGAAACTGCTAGACAAATACGGAGGGCAGGCATGACTTTCATGCCACTCTACCAAAGCTTTTAACCCCTATGGAGACAACGGGGAACATATGTCCCATCAACTAAACTTAAACCTAAGGGCAGTAAGATTAGAACCAGAGCTGCTAGATGATAGGGTGTCACTGTTTGTGACCACTGAATTTATTCAACCTCAGCTATTCTTGCCTTATCTTTGGTAAGGTCTCTTTGGATCAATCAACTAAACATTTTTACTCGAATAAGATCTACTCAGCAAAGCATCTGCTGTCTTTTTCATAAATAAGAAAATTTCCCTTTCATTATGAACCAAGCATCTACTGTCATATTCCAAACAGTGAAATGTCTTATAATTTTCTTTTCAAGAACTCACCTCCTTGAAGAGCTAGGGCACTACTGAAAGCTGCATTGACACCTCCAGAGATACCAAGTGATTCTCGCACTGGTATACCCACAAGATGTCCTAAACCTGTATTAATTGAAAACAAGAATAAAGAAAAACAAGTTATTTTAGATGTGACATGATGTGCACCTCTGTAGCAAAGTGTTCAATTTGAACTTTATCATGATGTAAAGTGAAAGAAATAATGGTCCGGAAGCTATTCTTGATTCAGTGGTATAACATTGTAGGGGTGTGGTTGTGCTCGACCAGTTGTTTTGTATTAAAGATAATACAATATGAATGGCTACAAAGGTTGTTGTTTTTAATCTTTTAAGTACTCAGAACATTTTGTGATACCTGTTTTGAATGATCTCATATTTTGTTGTATGATAATAATGACCACTAATCCTTTTTCCCTGATATCTATGATTCCAGTCAAATCCATATAAACAATCAGAACTATTTCTATTGTTACTGACAATGTTGCTAGATACTGATGGTTATAAGACGTACTTGATAAAGAGGAACTGTCTTCAAAGTAACTGATTTGTCATCATTTTACAAATTCAGATTCACCTTAAGTTGTTTATGATCAGATTCTGGTACAAATGGTAAATAAAGTACACAACTGTCAAATAATAAAAATATAAATTCTACACCATATTCTACTTCATCAGATAAAATGATACTCAGAATGATTGCAAACAGAGTAAGGAAACATTTCCTAAATCAAATCATGGAAAACAAGGTTTAAATATAAAATAATATCTCATACTTAAATGATGAAGACATAACAATATTAACATGGAATCTTGATATTAAGATGTAATTGTAAGATAACAGTTCAAATATGCTTGTTTTTCAAGTTTGGTGTTTGAAGTTAAGGTTTCATAACACAAATATGAACTCAAAACCTTTCTTGAAGACTATCCACATAATAAGCATGAAGGGCAGGGTTCCATTTAGACACAATTGTTGCATGCCTTACTAATTTACATGGTATCCCCTCATTTTGCTGATGACATAGTATCCCCCTCATTTTGATGACCCGCGAAGAACAGGGAATAATAGGTCTTTAGCAACCCATGCTTGCCACAAAAAGGTGACTATGCTTGTCGTAAGAGGCGACCAACGGGATCGGGTGGTCAGGCTCGCTGACTTGGTTGATGCATGTCATCGATGTCAAATGTGTGGATCAATGCTCATGATGTCAATCACTGGATTGTCTGGTTCAGACTCGATTATTTACAGACCACCATCATATGGCTGGAATATTTCTGAGTGCAGCGTTAAACAACAAACAACAACAACTCATTTTGCTGATGGAGTGGTAACATAGCTAATGGAGTGGCAACTTAGCTGATAGAGGGGGTACATAGCTGATATAGAGTGGTAACATAGCTGATGGAGTGTCAACTTAGCTGATAGAGGGGGTACATAGCTGATAGAGTGGTAACATAGTTAAGTGTGGTTACATAGCTAATTGGGCGGTTTCATAGCTTCAATGCAGATAACAAATTTAATAGAGTTGTTACATAGCTGATAGAGTGGTCACATAGCTGATAGAGCGGTAACATATCTAATAGTGGTTACATAGCTGATAGAGTGGTAACATAGCTGATAGAGTGGTCACATAGCTGATAGAGTGGTAACATATCTAATAGTGGTTACATAGCTGATAGAGTGGTAACATAGCTGATAGAGTGGTCACATAGCTGATAGAGTGGTAACATAGCTGATAAAGTGGGAACATATCTAATAGTGGTAACATAGCTGACCTTCAGTCATTCATTCATTCATGTCCCAGAACAGCATATTAAAATGTATAGCTAAGCATACATAAGTACAGTAAGCATACATGAGTAGACATACCAAGAACCCTATAATTCATTTTAATACCCTACCTCTATTATATCATGGCCAATATTCCTGCAATCTGGCTATCCTCTTCACTGTCAATCTCATTAAAATCAGATCTTAGTTTTCGCTACCACTAAATAAAGATCTGAGGACATTCTATTACAGGTCATGTTAGAACAACCTTTTGCGACATTTGCCAATCAGAAAGCAGCTTTTTCAAGCTTTATGGCACTAGATTAATAATGGCGACTTCCATTTCAGACTATGCTTGAAAAATATGTTGATAAAGTTCTTGATAAAAAATTGACAAAAGAACATTCTGGAATGTCTAATATACTGAACCACAAAAGAAAATTCACCCGAAGTAACATTGTATGAAAAGTTGTTGTTTAAATATCTGGGTAATTTTTGTCAAAGTTTCTAAAATTTAACATTACCTTGTCCGGAAAAATGAAATTTCATGATAAAAAAACAAAGCAGATGACAATAAAACTGATCGCCCAAACGCATCATGGCAATGGCCATGGTAACCCGATGCACGTGAGTTCCGTGCATATTGAAATGCACATGCGTTACCCCATTTCTTGCCCTATAAAAGTCCACCCAGATCGGATAGCATTCATTCATTATTGAATTGCTTCCACATGCCAAGATTGACAAGAAATCAGCAAAACCAAGCCTTTGGACGATTGCAAGCTGGACAAACCATCTGGCAAGTAGCCAATGCAATTCAAGTCCATGTAAGGACCATATACAGGTTCCAGCAACGGTACCAGACCATCAACACTACAGATGACCGACCACGTAGTGGATGACCAAGGGTCATCATCCAACGTCAGGATCGTCAGATTGTGAGACAGTATCTTCAAGATCGCTTTGTTACTGCTGCGGAAACTGCTCGATAGACCATCGGGACACACCAGGGACACATTAGTGCAGACACTGTGCGTCGACAATTGACGAGCAGACACCTCCACTGTCACAGGCCACACCGAGGACCCATACCGTCGCCGGGATGAACGTTATTCGGATGCTTATGTTGTTGAGAGAGACTCGTGGGGTGGTCCAAGCATCATGGTGTGGGGTGTAATTGGACTTGCACGGAGGGTCGGCCCTGTGGTCTTCCAGAACATCAGTCCAGGGAGAGGCAATGGTGTCACAGCAGCTTGGTACATTGATCAAGTCTTGAGACCACACGTCATGCACGTCACACGTCATGCCTTGAGACCACACGTCAGTGGTTAAAGCGTTCGCTCGTCATGCCGAAGACCCGGGTTCGATTCCCGACATGGGTACAATGTGTGAAGCCCATTTCTGGTGTCCCCCGCCGTGATGTTGCTGGAATATTGCTAAAAGCGGTGTAAAAACATACTCACTCACTCACTATTCCATCAGGAAGTAATCTTTCCCAACTCCCCAATCTATCTGCATCGACTGGATGGGACATTTCCCACCATGTGCAAAGGCTTTAAAATGAAGTACCATTTGCCTAACAACTGCTTGGGATGGCTGACATTTGAGAGGATGTCTGTTGAAAATCTAAGGATTTTTTAGTGTGATGTTAGCCAAATTGCAGGAATATTGCCTATGCTGTAATAGAGGTAATCTTCTTAGAATTATACACAAAGATTGATTTCTAAGAAACACCATGACAACAATTTCAAAGGTTTCAAAATCTGAATCTTACTCCACTGTAAATGGGGATTCTGTTGAAAATCTAAAGATTTTTATGGTGTGATGACACATGATTACAGAATTTCTAGCACTGAAGTAATAGAGAATTGGTATTTGTAATAAAGCGCTAACAAAGGGAAGTTCAGTCTGATGATATGAAGGTGCTCTTAAAACACAATTAAGCTCGATTTAATTTCATAGCTTTCAGAAATGCACATAAAAATGCCAAACTTACTGTCTAAGTCACGGAAGATGGCTTTTTTTGTGAAGTTGAAGTTGTCTCCCGCAACATGTTTAACTTGCTATGAAAACATAAAACATGTATAAGGTCATTATCAAGACATCATGTCATCCATTTGACACTCTCAACAAAGACAGCCACTAAAATCTTTCAAGCCATTCTTGAGAACAAGTTTAAATGTAAAACATTAATGGATAAAAATGACAACCTTTTAGGCCAAGTGGTCTAAAGACTGAACATATATGTTGAGTCCCACTACCAACTACACATACAGTATATATCAAATGTTTCATTACATTATTACACACAAAAATTGATCTACCTGTCCATATCAGATTCAAACCTTGAAACTAGTGTTTCAACAAGAGTTTGCAGAGCCAAGTATAGATTTTGAGAAAATATTACAATGCATGGTCAATAGGCAAAGTTTAAATAAATGTCAAAATTCAAAATAAAAAAGTATGTCTTGTGCCCCACTACTAACTACATGCACCACATTCCATTACATTTTGAAACAAAATAGTTGATAAGTTTCAACTTTCAGTGTGGTCGATGTGCAAAGGTAAAATCAAGATACAAATCTACGACATTTAAAAAAAAAGAACATGAATATGCTGGGCCCCACCAACTATACATGTAAAGAAAATTAAATTACATTTTGAAACAAAAGAAATTGGGTTTAAATCTTTCTCTAAATTCAGGTTTCATCATTGGTGGGAAAAAATCCAGCGGATTCTGAGTAAAAGAACAAAAATTGTTTTCTAACATGTTTCTTATTGTCGAAACATAAATGTGAAATTGACCTTGATTTCTAATTGTCCTTTTAGCCTAAGCTAAGCATTACATTCTAGGATTTCCTTTCAAACCATAAAAGACAATTAGAATGCTGAAAACATAATAATTTCAATTGTATCATAGTTGTCTTTCTTGAGGCGAAAAAGATAATTTACATCTCTTTTGGTGGGCAGACAAAATGCTGGAAATTTCACCATTAGGTTTGTTTTCACTTTTCTTTCCACCTGAGAAAGACAACTTCAAAACAATTACTTACAATTAGAAAACAATGCAGTGACATGACATCAACTGAACTGTTTAACAGTTGTCTTTTCGTGGGCTGTTTTAGAGTTCTTGGGGTTTTTTTCAAGTAAAACCACACAAAACCATGGAAAAAACAATTTACAACATTGTAGAAAATTAAATCATTTCAGTTGTTTTCTGGTTGGTTGCTAAACAGCCAATCAGAAAAAAACCGAAAACATTTTTTCAAAACGGATGCTGCTGAAACCGATGACTTTCAGTAAGGTGAGCAAAAATGTATTTTAAAGACACTATTATTCATCTGTGACCACTCTTTTGATTACCAGAAAAAGCATTTTTGAAAATATATCACACAGTTGAAAATTAGTATGATTGCAATTGTGGAAACATGTCCACTGGATATGAAGATTTGTTCATTCAAACAAATCATGAACATACATATTGACATTTACAAATTTTCAAAATCTTTGATGATAATCATGATGGTATGGGTCAAACTTGCATCTAAACTAATCTTTCTAGAGTGCTGACAAAACCCATAACTATCACCAAAACTATTGGCAATTAATTCATCAGCTTATTGCCAATTGCAACGCTACTGCTTTGAAAAAAATATAACAACTATTATGAAAGCAAAATCTAAATTTTTCTTACATTTGCATACTTTTCCTGCATTACTCATTAATGCATGTACTGCTTATCTTATGACAGAAACAAAGCTGTGCAAAGTCTAGGCTGAAGAAAAAAGTTGTTCCGATCTAGTCTGAAGCCTGACCCTTACACAGCAGCCACATGACCAAACAGAAGTGATGACATCACGGAATCTTCATATTACTGCTTGTCACACGTAATTCCTCTGAAGATATAGTGGTGTGACAGGTCTGCGACATGTGGGCACTTAGACATAGTAATGCAGGATACAAGTGCACAAATGTACACAATATTGAGATTTTACTTAATCTTTTAACTTATCCTGCATTACTCCTTAATGCATCTGTATCAGACGGTACAGCGGATGGCATACCTCCACATGTAGTCCTCAAAGGTCAATGGTGCGTCCTCCAAAGACATCCTTTCATGATTGGTCTCATAGAACAGTTGCTATGCACGGCTATGGTAGAGGTCCCTGCCCTGATCTCGTGAGCATTGTTTGTGCTCAGGGGATCAAGGTTGAAAATCCTGTATGCCTGAAGGATGATGGCGCGTAACAATAGAGATATGGTGATACGGCTGACTTCAGTCGTGGTCGTAGTTGTAGGAATAAACAACCGTTTCCAGGTGCCACTCAGTCTTGGAACGGCGGATGAAAACTCATTGTGCGTGCACAGGGTACAGTAGGAGTTCTTCCTCCTCTTCAGCATCCACAATCCTGGAGATAGGTGTAATGTCCCAGGAGTTGATTCTTAGCTATAAAATCCCAACACAGCCTGAGGTGAACCGCTCTATGCGTACCATGCTCAAAGCGTACAGGGGAGATATCAAGTGCATGTAACTTGCTTACTCTTTCTGCTGTGGCTGGTGCCAAGAGGAAGATTGTCTTCTTGATGAGGTTATAAAACGATGTTGCGTGGAGAGGCTTGAAAGTACCACATTAAAAGCCCAAGCGGGAGTTCAAAATTTGGTCTTCTGATCCTCAAGCCTGAATGAGCTCAGGAGGGTCTGTAGTACTGGAACTTTGGTCATGTTGCTAAGCTGAATTAAGGGCCACCAAGCATGTCGTAATTGTGCTGCTTTCACATTAGATGTCAGGTTTGTGAAAGCCTTCTACCTAAGTAATTTGCTTTTACCACTCTCTAGTCCCTGGGGTGATGGAGCTCACTCAAATGATACTCACTCAAATGATACTCAGGTTTGTAGTTCAATTCCATTTATTCTAGAATAAATATTTAACACAAGAGGTCCTCAGATATGTTCTTGTTGCCTGACTAGTATCTCCACAATAACACAACACATATCTGTGTAAAGAGCACAGTAGTATTACATTTTGAATCTGAACTTATCACTTCCAATCCAAGAATAGAGGACCCTACAGAAAGAACCTCTCAGGTCAGTTGCGGGACTCAAAACTGGCGCTCCACTCTCTGACAATTAATAAAATACTATCATCCTAATTCTTTGTTCTCTTTGTCTTTTTGTCTCAAAACGAACATTAGCCATCTGGTCAATCGTGCATACAAAAGAGTATCAGGAAAGTTCTAGACTTTTTGGTGCCCGAAATATTATTAAAAAGTATCATTTACTGGCTTCCAATTAATGGCCAGCTGTTCCCTCAATACCCCCTGGTGATAATTTTTAATAACTTGAGTATTTTCACAAGAAGAGCATGATGGAGTCAGTGTCCACTATTGTGAAGAGAAACTGTCTTATCGATGCACAATGGATGAAGAGTTTGGGAGATTGAGGAGAGAATATCAAAGTTAAATTCAGGAAAGACAACCGTGAAATTTTCAGTGATTTTGGAGCCATTCACGGTAAAAGCAACACCTAATGCTGAATCTGATGATGCCCTTGCTCATTTGGCCAAGAGTGAGAAGAAAGTGTATGTGGTGGAAGGGGACATGGTTTCAAGGAGGATGTAAGGATTGTTGCGCCTCTCCTGAACAGAGAGCAGTTGGTTGATGAGTGGCAATGCCTCAAAGCGATGATTATGGGTTCATATAAGCATTTCCAATTCCATCAACCGTGTAAGAGAATTATTCTTCTTCATCAGTCTATATTGCCAAACTGTGCCATTCTTGCCAATATTGGGCTATGTATGACAATTACAAGCGTTGAATGTGAGCGTTCGTTCAGCTCCAGAACCGCCTCAAGTCAAAGTACAGGTCTTCACTATCCTCAGATAAGCTTGATATTTTGCTGAAAATCAAGATGCTTGGTCCCCAGATTGATGCATATGACTGTTCACGTGCTGTGCGACACTGGTTGGCAGGAAAAAGGAGGAGAAATACTGACTACAAACCAAAACCAGGAAAAATGAGAAAAGTTGCCTCCTCAACAAGAGTTGACTGATCGGGAAAGGGTTGCTTTGACAATTTAGTACCCCCACAACATAAGTAAGTTTGGGTTTTACGCCTCTTCAAACAATGTTTCAGTTACCTCACAGCGTCCAGTATTATGGCAGGAGGAATGCATAGTTTTGTTGTGTTCAAACAGTTTAGAAGTAAATGTACAAAGCAAGGACTTTTGTTTTGTTATTTTAAGTTAGATTATACTATAATATCACTGGGTAATAAGATGAATCGCCTTCTGATTAAAATAATGCAGTTGGCGTGGTTGGAGTTGCTAGGCAGAACATTTTTATTTTCAATTGCTTGTCAGCGCCTACAACTTTCAATGCAATATAAATACCACATAAATACATAGAGGTTATCACGCGAGTGTGTTTGGGGATGGTTAATATCCTGCATTAGGAATAAACATTGTATTTAGCGAGCCTTGGCGAGCTAAATACATAGTGTTTATTCCTAATACAGGATATTTACCATCCCCAAACACACAAGCGTGATACCCTCTTTATCATATAATGTCATTCTTTAGTTCTGTGCTTAAAAATCGCTTTCCCTCTCTCACAAACATAATCGAAACATTGCGAGTTTTCCTGCAATGCGCGCATTAATATTTATTACGTCAGAGGGTAAGTGACGTGTCAGTCAGACAGTGACAGTAGCCAATATAGTTCCAAATGAAATCTATTTCTTATACAGTGGCGAAGCAACATAAACGCAAAACAACAATTGTTTTTAATTGCCTTTTGCGGCAATCCATCGGTCTGTTCGCTAGAGTAACTGCCCTTTGTCAAAGGGAAGCTACTCAAACCCTAGTCTCAGACGTCACGGCCACGGTCAGACCTTGTTGACAGTCGGTCTGTCCTGTCATAACGTTAAGAAGTGTAGTCAGATGTACACACAGCGACAAAACGCAACAAGGTAACAATTCACATATATTTCGGCCAAATCCAACTATTTTAATTTGTGGTGAAGGTTTCAAGCCGCAGAGGTCTACAAGCACAGATATGGCTACTGATCCCGCTTGGCTAGGCCTCGTGCCCTCGCAAAATTGTTTCGAAATTTATATCTCCAAAGTTGCCCAAACTTATAAAATGCCTTATCTACGTCACAGCTAGACACGGATTTTCAGTATATTAGACTGTTCTTTTGATAGTGATAGCAATTATCCCTGTAGTTTATCCAGATTGCCGATGGTTAACTCTGACTCGATCCCCGAATGACGAGGGCGACGCCATGTTTGTTTATAAACAGTGAAAGTAGTCCCTACTTGACCTTTGATATTTGCATCTCTATCCGCATATGACCCCAACGGATATCGTTTTTATCCGTTGGCTTTATCCTGCCGAGAAACCTACCCATTATATGATAAAGAACATTTATGCTGCTAGTGTACAGGGTACTGGTCTACTTGGTATACTGAAATACAGTTGAAAGAGGCCTTTTTCTAAAACACAAGCATAATTTCATATTTGTTTTAAATCTTAAAATCTTGACTCATTTTTTGGGGAAAAAAAAACAATAGTCAAGAATAGATCAGTGAAAAAATATTGGTTACCCAATGAAAAATGTAATTAAAATAGAAACCCTAGAGTAAAAACTCAATTGCTCAAAAGTTATCTGGAGCTCTGGTTAAAAGTTTTTATATTTCTAGAGGGGCTTGAATAGTGTTAACTGCTGAGAAAAAATTGTGTATTGATTGAAAGTCAGGTGAGTTACGTATATGTATTCTGCAGAGACAATGTGTTTAAACACATTCAAACACGACTCTCTTGTCTGCCAGTTTAAATTATATGAAGTAAAGCAATCTAACTGTTAATGATTGTGGTAAATAAAAGACACACAATGCAGTTGCTACAACATCAAAACCTAGACCTAAAATATACAAACCTTAAAACCAGTAAGTAGATCACCTCTAAGTACAGGCTTCATGTTAATTACCTCAATTGTGTTGTCAAGAAATGTGGAAATGTCATCAATGTTATCTGCAGCTGTATCACCAAACTTGTTAAGTGCTGTTGACATACGATCATTGGAAACAAACACACACACCATACCAGCACTGAAACAAAAACAAAGTGCAAATTAATTACCAATTATTAATTGCTTTAGAGAGTTGTGAGGTTCTAAGTACATTTTAACATGTGTTCTATATGATAAGTGACAACTAATAACTAGAGGTATTTGCAAGAACAGAAGCACCCTCTACATCACCATTTCCTCAAAGCTCTATAAACATAACTTTTCAAATACACATGGAAATATCAAACAAAAGTTATCATTGTAAATAATTAAAGCATGATAAATATCGTTTGATAATTCTTACGAATACATAAACCTCTATTACATCTGCATCAGCATACACCCCTGGGTTCTGACATCTACAAATACCCTGAATAGTTGACCCTCACGGTATAAGTGGAACAAATAACTTTTTTCTGCACCCAGTGTAACCAAATTGTATAACATTCAGCTTAATTTGATTGTCTTTCCAAAAATAACTAAATTTTAAAAAATCCTAGCAATGTTGAAAGTAACGGTATTGTAAGTTTGCTACTATTCTAGGTTAATTGTAATATGGAAGTACCTGAAAGTGAAAAGAGAAATCAAGTAAGCCCACTTGTTTGAAATCTAGATGTCCCATAATTGATATCATTGAAAGAACATATCATAACAATGATAGACATTTGACATTTATATCATTATACATTCACTGAGAATTTTTCCATGAGTTTTATTTACTGATAAAAATATCCTCATGAAATTGTCAGTGTTTGATGTCTAATGCATAAATCTCACTCACTCGAGCAGCCGCTGCTAGAGCCATGAGGAAAATAGTTTTCAGCGTGATGCGCTCACTCAGCCAAAGTGAGATGACGAAGTATACTCTTCAAAAAAAGAAACTTGACATAGATGTAAAACCACTTTTCTCAAAATATCCAAAATCATTAAATGAAATGTGACTAGAATTAGTCAAACAGAAGGATGATATTTCCATAATTCGCGGAAACACATCCAAACCACATAAACGTAGTGTTTGGGGATCAATTTTCCAGATTCATCCAAACGCAACCGGCTGTAAAAACGTGCAGCACAGGACCCTGCATTTATGCATGCATGCACCCCTGCTAAAGGGGTATAAAAAAACAACATCAACGGGCGTTCATACAGTAGATGCGGTGACAGAATGCCAAGACTGAAAACAGCGTCACAATGCCATTGGCAGATTACAAGCTGGAGCAACTCAGCAAGATGTGGCCAGGCACCTTGGCGTATCCCGACAGACAATCTCCGCATTATGGACCCGGTACAACAACACCAACAGAGTTGACGACAGACCAAGGTCAGGGAGACCAAGGGTGACAACGCCAGCACAAGATCAATACATCGACATCGCTGCGACACCTACAAGAACGCACTACCACAGCAACGTCTACAACCACACAGATCCCTGGGCTATGCAGAATTTCAGATCAAACAGTATGCAACAGATTGAGGGAGGCTGAACTTTTTGCACGAAGTCCTGTTTGACGTCATGTATATGACCCCACGTCATCTGGCAGACCGTCTGCATTGGTGTCAACAGAGGGTGAGATGGGCATGTGCAAGGTGGAGAAATGTACTGTTCACTGATGAGTCACGTTTTTTACTCACATGTGCTGATGGGAGCACACGTCTACGTGTCTACAGACGTCGGGGTGAACATTACGCCCCCAACTGTGTGCAGCAGGTTATCCCATTTGGAGGCGGGAGTGTCATGGTATGGACCAGAATTCATCACGGTGGTAGGACGCCTCTCGTGCATGTGGCAGGTACACTGAGAGGCGTACGTTACAGAGACATGATCCTACAGCCTCACTTCAAATTTCACGGTGGGGAATTCCTGCAAGACAACGCTTGACAACGCATATTGCACGTGTTTGACAGGACTTTCTACAGCGCAACAACATCCAGACATTACCTTGGCCACCGCCATCACCAGATTTGTCCCCAATTGAGCATCTGTGGGACGAGTTGGATCAACATATGCGCAGAATGACTTCACCACCCCAAACACTTCCGACGCTTCTTGTTGCACTTCAGCATGAGTGGCAGCACATTCCACAGCATGTTATTCACAACTTGACTGCATCTATTGGTCGTCGGTGTCAAGCGGTAATTGATGCACGTGGTGGTCACAACCGATACTGACATATACTCTATTGTGTACGTGTGTCTGTCTATGCAACACAATTAATGTTTTGAACATTGTGTAGGTTGATCCTCAAACTGTGTTTCACTTATGGTTTCTGTGTCCTATTTTCAAACATTGTTTTTCTATTAAATTTTGAAAGACGGTGTCAAGTTTCTTTTTTTGAAGAGTATATGATGTTCAGGTCCGAGGTTGAGGGACAAATTTTGAGAAGACAGAGAGCCTACTTGTATGACCGAATCAAGGATAGCAATGTAGCCACTAAGGAGACCTTTGCGCCTGTAGTAGTTGCGCAACGGAATTAATTGCAGCCAAGTATGTAGCTACGGTAGAACCTTTCAGCTTATGGGACGATGGTGATGGCAAAGATAATCAGTAGGCTGTTGTTTTGAAGCAGTAGCGTTTGAAGAAATATGCTTGTGAAAGTAGGCCTCAAAGGCCTTCCAGTTGTGGACTTGGTTGATGAATAGTGAGAATCAAAGATTGAATTGGTTACCCATCTAGAGGAACCCTTCACAAGGGATTTTTGTAAATGCGCCAAACGCACAGATTGAGAGTGTCGAGCAACAGGTGAAGCAACTAGGAGTGAGGATGAAGTAGAAGATTGAGACTGAGAGGTAGACAGTAAAAGCTTCTGTCTACTAGTTGGATGAGTGTGGTGAACACCGGTTGGGGGAAAGGCATAAGCGTGTAGGCCATCCCACGATATTGGAAACGCGTTGTAATCCCAAGCCCCAGGGTCGAGAATGAGAGATACGAACTGGAATATCCGAGTGTTGAAACGAGTTGCAAAGAGATCGACAACTGGGTATGGATATAACTGGCAGATCCACTTGAAAATCATTGGATTTAGATGCCATCCTGTTGGAGATGGTTTGTCGGGTCAGGTCGGGACAGGGAATCAGCTCTGATGTTGGAGAATGTTATTTGAAACAATCAGTTGAAATGTCAACTTGGTGGAGCCCATCTTGTTTATGTCCCAAACGGAAAGGTTGACCTACTGGATCATCAGACTAGTGTTGCCCAATGTGACACCGCCAGGATCACTGCTTTGTTATTTTTGTGAAGCTGACTTTGTTGGTGAGACCACAGCTCTGCCGGCTGTAGTTCATGACAATAAGCTCTCCATCCCACGTTTGAGGCGTCAACAAAAACATGTAGGGTCAGGATAAACAGCCGCAAGGAGACTTCACAAACAGTCCACAGAATCAGCCACCATTATAGGTGTGGCCATAGATGGTTTGGCAGGAAGATTAGAACCGGACAATTGTTGTTCTGGCGAAGTGGCTTGAGAAAGCGAGGAATTGGTCACAGGTGTAGTTGACCTCTCCTGGTGAGAGCCTGTGGACCAAGGAGTTGCCACTGGCGAAAGGCGAGAGATTGTCTGAGTGCCAGTGGAACAAGGCCTTTTATTACTTGCCCGTGAAGAGATCACCTGTTTAATAAACATACAGCCGTATTACACATTGTGTAAAAACAAAACGTGTACTCTCGGAACACGTTTCTAGAACAAATATTGAAAGCTCTTAACATCACTTGGCATATTCAACGACATTGCATGTGGAGATAATAGATCACTGAGAGGAGCTTATGCACACCTTATGACCCCAGCAACCTTGTTGCTAGGCTGATGTCACATGGTATTGTTTCGCCGAAGGATCTTGCAACAAAATTCCACAAATTACGTCATCGGGTATTTTGACGTGATTGTAAACTTTGAGGTACAAGGCGATCGTACTGTAGAGCAACGACAGTCGTTGGTTTTAGTTAAAGTGTGTGAGTTGCGATAACCTTAACACTACGATAATTTTGTGGAACGGACGCCTGAATTCTAAAGGTGGGCCGTTGTATGTTATTAAATCCATACGTTTCAACTTTTGATGTGTTTGAAGTATTATTGTGTTAAATTAAGTTGGACTCGTGAATAGTTGAACCACAACTATTCACTCGTTTCATAAAATTGGTATTACACGGGAGCTCGTTTAGTGTTCTATATGCATCTTCAACCATCGATACTGGCACAGGAACATCTTGCCGAAGGGTGTTTGGAATAGAGCCCTGATGTACTGGAGACTTTGGACAGGGATTGTTTTGTTTTGATGAGCCAACCAAGTTGCGAAGTAGGTGCTGCATGAAATTGAGATGTAGAAGAGTTCAGATCATCTGTGTACGCTTTGAAGACGATGCTGCGAGCAAGTAGAAATTTGACGATGAGCTTGGAGAGGGGGGTCAATAGCCACGGGGCCGAAAAAATTCCACACGGGAGCACCTTCCAATGATAATGGCGGTCGAGGAAAAAGAACCGGCGAAATGTCTGGGCTCCGGATGGATGGGGACGTGTCCTGTAAATCTAAACTGATCATGAATTCACGAGGACAAAGAATTGTGTGTATCATGATGGTCATCTGGAAGTGAGGAGGCTTGTTGAACAATTTAGTGTTGAAGATAAAATGTTGTTGAAGACTGTCTTTCATTTGAACCAGAAAGATCAGCAAATATACTCAACAACAAAAGTTCCTGTGACACCAATATTTTAGTGTATTTTTCAAACAAGTAAAGTTTGGTTTTCAATATTGTAGTACATGTATGGAATCAAGTCACAAAAACGCAACTGCTACAGAAGAGCATGCATTCCATGCAAAAGTTGACTTTTATGCAAGCCCCATGCATTTCACTACCCAAGAATGGGTATAAAACATGTGCGTTAACGGGTTTCCATATGCATTGTTTAGCATCGTGCTGACAACAACCACTCAGAAAAACAACAAAATTACGCAATTATTCAACATTACGAAATGCCGCGCCTGTCCGAAAATGAGTGTCTGCAAGCCATTGGTATGCTTGAAGCAGGATCGATTCAACGTGATGTT